ATCCCGTTGCCGGTCCTAGTCCGGTACGGGGGCAACACTGAGGGTTGCGATCCGTTGCCGGCACGGAAAAAGACAAAAAGGAAAACAAACAAACAAACAAACAAAAAAAAACATCAGATTGGATCAAGGGAGAAAAGATATACTTAGAAAAGAAATGACAGGGGCAGCCAATATTATGAAGAACAATGTCAGCAGCAATCCTGATAGGACAGAACATTAGACTGGACCTAAGAAGCTTATACTGGACGAGTATCAAAAACACATGAAGAGCCAAACACCCACCTGTACACACACTGACAGGAACGGACAAAATGGCACTGAGCAGAAGTGCTTCTATAAGCAAAATCAAGGGGCTCTAAGCTCAGTGGGAATCGCAGAGTGAGGTCACTCCCCAAATGGCTAAAGCCATCTGGGGACACACTGATCAGTCTCCCTTCAGAATGATGGAGTCCTTGGCTGCTCTACCCACATCTGTTGTCCCCGGAGCAGGTGTTCAGTGACAGCTGGCACTTGAGTGGAAGACATTTGGAGAAAAATCAGAATGAAGAGAGTCTCTGAAAAGACTGAGGAAATCACCTAGACTAGTAATGTCCAACAGATATATAGTGTGAACCACCTAAGAATTTTTTAATTTAGTAGCCACATTTAAAAAATAGAAAAGTGAAATTAACAATAATATATTTTATCCCAAAATATTACCATTTCAACATGTAATCAATATAAAAAAATTGTTAATAATCTATTTTATATTCCTTTCCATACCACATCTTAGAAATATATTGGTGTGCGGGGCCGGCCCGGTGGCGCACTGGATAAGTGCGCCGCTTGGGAAGCGCGGCAGCACTCCTGCCCGAGGGTTCGGATCCCACATACAGACCGGTTCCCACTCACTGGCTGAGCGAGGCGCGGGAGCAGCCCCAAGGGTTGCAATCCCATTGCCGGTCCCCGGTCCGGTACGGGAGCAACACTCAGGGTTGCGATCCGTTGCCGGACACAGAAAAAGACAAAAGACAAAAAAAAAAAAAAAAAAAAA